GTTACAGTCCAAACTCCAAATGATTTAAATATATAATTTCAACAAAAACACTCAACAAAGTTCAACACTACATTACATCTGTCAGGTAATTATCTCCTTAGCTTCAATGGAAACAAACACAACAAATCTTTAAATAATTATCTCCTTAGCGTCAATAACACTTGAAGCATCTGTTAAAAAAATTCATATACACATATATAAAGTAATTAGTAAGTGTAAAAATGCAATATATAAATTAAATTAAGAGACATAAAATTGAATATATTACCTGCAACATTAACCACATCGTTAGTCTCTTGAAAATTGTCAACCTCATGAAACATAGAGACAAACTCTAAGAGAGATTGCCCTGCAAGTAGCCAATTCTGGGCACAAATGAGTGCTTCAGTCATCTTAGGAGATAAAGAACTCCTATAATCATCAACAACACGTCCTCTAGTACTAAAAGCTGATTCAGAAGCAACTGTAGATACTGGTATAGCCAATACATCTTGTGCTATCAAGGAAAGCACTCTGTACCTAGTAGAATTAACCTTCCACCATGTCAAGATATCAAAATCATCATTATCATCAATAGTGGTGTCCTCAGATGTACTAGTAGAAAGGTATCTATCCAACTCTGACTGGGTATCAACTGATGAGCTTTTTTGCTTCTGGGATGCTAACCATCTATGACCAGGGTCTTTTTTACCTTTACTTGCATTTGAAGTATTAGTGTCAAGAGCACTTGGAGAGTTGACACTACCAGAACTACTTGTATCAAGACCAACTGTCACAGAGTATTCCTCAAACAAGCGATATAAAGTGTTTCTTACCTTATTCTTCATGGACATACAAAGGTTAGGGGCAGGAAAAAGCTGATCAAATACATGATTGATATAGGTAAGCTTGTATCGAGGATCAAGAATCACAGAAATAATCAACAAAGGGTTCAAATTATCTGTTTCCCCCCAATACTTATCATACTTACTCTTTATGCTCAAAGACATCTCCCTAAGAAGAGGGTCTTCACTTTCAATATTCTTATCTAACAACTCTTGAATTAAAGCAATTTGATGGAAGCATGTATGTGCAGTAACTTTTAATGTGCTAGAAAATTGCAAAGTGACATCATAAAACACTTTCAAGAACTTAAGGAAGAACCGTGCTTTATTCCAACCTTGTTTGTTTGGAGGGCCATTACGCTTAGGAGGAGCTTTCCTAGAGTAAGTGAAAACATCAATGCTGTCATCGGGTCTAGCACTTTGCCTATAAACATAGGCATCCATGCTACCATCTAAACAAGAAACGTCACTCTGAGCATGATGCTTTGAACCTTTGTTGAAGTAGCTAACAAAATATTCATCCTCATCCTCTAATCTTTCAAATGCCTTTTGAAACTTTAAAGCCACATCCAACATTAAATATGTAGAATTCCATCTAGTATTGACATCGAGGCAAACAATGCTTTTTGTATCCAACATTTCTAATTCACAAACATCTTTAAATCTTTGCAAGCGAGCAGGAGATGAACGAACATATCTAATAGCATTTCAAATGGACTCAAAAGTATCTTTCAACTCCTTCAAACAATCATTAACAACTAGGTTAAGAATATATGCAAAGCATTATAGTTGAAGATAATCATCACCATAAACAAGACCCCTCCAATTCTTTAGATGCCTTTTTAAGTAGGACAATGTTGTGTCATTGGAAGTTGCATTATCCATGGTTATGGTGAACACATTTTGTATGCCCCAGTCTGATAAGCACCTTTCAATTGTCTTGCCTATCGTATCACCCTTATGATTCTCAACCATGTAAAAACTGAGAATCCTCTTATGCAAGTTCCAATCATTATCAATGAAATGGGCTATCAAACATAAATAATTGAAGTTTCGAACTGATGTCCAGCAATTTGTAGTAAGACAAAGACAATTAGTACACTTCTTTAATAAATTTTTCAATATTCTAATTTCACCAAGATACAATTGCTAAGTATCTCTAGCCACTGTTGTTCTTGAAGGGATTTGAAATCGTGGTTCTAAATCCTTCACAAACTTTTTAAAGCCTTCCTTCTTAACAAGCCTAAATGGCATCTCATCACATATGATGAACTCAACTAGAGCCCTGTGACATCATTTTTGATTGAACATGTGAGGTACTAAGTTTCCCTCTTGCCCACTTAGTGTCACATAATTCAACATAGATTGCTTTGTCATTTGTATAGCTTTATGTGGATTCTTGAGGCACTTTGGTACATGCCTCTTCAAGGATGTTAAATCATGCTTGCCTGGATCACAAGCATAATCTAAATTACAGTACTTACATGCAGCTCTAACTTCTCCATTTGTCTCCTCCAATGGTAACTTGGTAAAGTGTTCCCACACTTTTGATCAATGCTGGATGTTTGCTCAATATCCATCACTTCACAATGATAAAATATAATTGAGACCATATAATTGATGAGTTATAATAGCACAATGATAAAAAGGAAGCAAAATGAAAAAAAATCAACAAGAATAGAGGTAATAAAAATTAGCCCACAGACATGTTAAAATTGTATATGTTCTAAATAATATATAATTCAGGGATTGAAAATAAAATCTAGTTCTTGGTTTTATCTATTATAGATAAAATTGCCATGAAATCACCATATATGCATTATTGCTCAGATCATTACTCAGATCATTGCAAAAGAAATTACTCAGATAAAAGCACCAGATATGCATTATTGCTTTATGGTGCGTGAAGCCATGAAATCAATGAACATAAACCAAATAAGTAACTAGCAACTCAGATCATTGCAAATGCATATTAAAAGGAAGATATAAAACAAAAAAAATAAAAAAGAAATTGAATTTCTGATGGTGAAAACTAAAACCGCTAAAACACACCAGATTTGAGGAGTGAGGACGATGAGGAGAACGACAAATGTAGCACCAGATCTGGTCAAGGCAAAGCCAAGAATGGAAATGGAAATCTGAGGCAAAGCTAGGCAAAGCAAGTATCTTCCTTCTTCCAGTCATGGTGTATCGAGGCGTGAAGGTGGAGGACGAGATCTGGGTCAAGTTGCAGTTGTGCTGAGGTGTGGAGGCGGAGGGTGGAGGCCGTCGACTGGTTTGAGCACTGAGATCTATGTGGCTCACTGGAGGAGGAGAGCAAGGAGGATCAAAGGTGGAGAGCAAGGGTGGGTAATGGTGCTACGTCACTGATGTGAATGAGGTGGTGGGCTTTGGTGCACAAGAGCAGGGTTGAGTCACGTGTGAGTGGCTGAGAGTTGAGAGTTGAGCAGGGTCTGAGCACTAAGATCCGTGTGGCTAATGCTGAGACTGAGTGTGCTGTAGTGTTCAGGATTTTTTTCGATCAGATGCATGGTGCAAGGCTGGACAGATGGACCTGACTAAAGGCTGTTTTTTTAAGACTTATTAATTAATAATTTATCAATTAATTTTAATTATATTAAAATAATTATGTAGGACCAAACCGGATCATTTACTCCAGATGCTTGGTCTCTAGTCTGGTCTTACCCAAAAAATTAGTCCTGTCTTGTTGGTCTTTTTAATCCTATGGGACCAGCATTTTATAGGACTAGACAAGACTGGGTTTTCACGGGTCGGACCGGACCGGACCAGAATATGAGAATTTTGCATAGCCCTAGTAGGAGCAAATAATTCTCTGCACCTATAACTGCCTATAGGGATTTCCACCGTGCGAAGTGGTCGGTGTTGGAGCACTAAGAATCTCAGATAATGGTAGAAGTAGGCATGAATCTATCAAACTTTCCCTCAACACACCACCAAACCCATCGAATTAAATCATAATTGGGCTAAGCTCTATCTCAACTTCTTTGGCTTGGGCTTTGGAATCTTTACAATTGGGTTTGGCGCACTCCGATTTTGGTTCAAACAAACTCTTTATAAAAGTGAACTGCAAGTTGGATTGGCATCATCATGGATCAGCACCCCAAGAAAGAAGTTATAGAAGTGAGGTATTTTTAGTTTCTCAAGCTTTTGCTTGCTGTTGTATTCCCAAAAAAAAAAAAAAAAGCAAGTCTTACTTTTTTGGCCCCGCTTCTTACGCGTTTTGCTCATTCAAGACTTGGGGGCCAATCTATGAAGGAAAACGTTAAATGCTTTCACTTGCGGAGCTATGCCTATTGACCCCAAAAGAAAGCAAATCTTTCTCTTTTGCTCCTGTTTCTTACGCGTTCTGCTGATTGAGAACCAATTATTTTAATAAATATAATATTAGAAATAAAGATAATATTATAAATGGTAGTTTTAAAAATATGTACTCTCTCTATTAAAAAATGTGAGCCATCTTTTGAGAGGTTGGATATTAAAAAATATAAAATATTTTTAGTATTTCAAAGTATAATCATGGCATTTTTTTAAAGTGCTCTTAATAAATAAATTACTTTATATTTATTTTAAATAAAATATCCTATTAAATAGAAGTAAATATAAAAAAATATAGTCAGTTTGAATATAAGTAACTACTTCATTGAGAGTTGAGATTATATTAAAAATGCTTTATATTTTTTAACATAGGAAGTATTTTTTAAAAATTGTAAATCAAAAATTTTAAAGATAAACTATCCTGAGTAAATCTAAATAATTAATTTATAAAAATATAAAAAATTTAATATTAAATTTTGACAATTTAAATTAAATCTAGACCGTCCAATTTATAGCAAATGAATATATTGAAAAAAATTTAATTTTATATTTTTATTTTAATAACTATAAAAATATATAAATTAAAAATTTTAAATCAATTTATGCTTTGTAAATCTTACGTGGATGATGGTACGCATGACCCCATGAACAGCAGTGAAGATGATTCCCAATCTATGAAGTGGGAACGTTAAATCATAAATGCTTTCAATTGTTAAGAAGCGGGGCAAAAATAAGTGGAAAAGGGGGAGCCACGTGTATGGAGGCTGAGCGTTTTTTTCTTTTGTGGTTGTTAAGCTATGCCTCTTGACCCAAAAAGAAAACAAATCTTTGTCTTTTGCTCCTCCTCCTTACGCGTTCTTCTCCTCATCTTGGTGATTGATTTCTAGATATCCACTACTCCTCAACTTGCTGCGAAATCTTTAGATCTCAACTGATGCATTTGTCCTCACATTCGATATTTATCTTTGATTTCGACTATTTGCAACTGCGATTTGGTTTCCTTATTTATCCCCACCTGGTCTTTCTAAGCATCTCTGATTCTTTAAGATTTGGTTTGAGTGAATTTAAATTTCAGTTCTGTCGTAGCAACAGCAAGGGTGATCTCACTGATCTCATTCTTAACGCAAGTGGGTTGTGACACATTAAAGCTCTCTCTCACCATTACCATTATTCTCCACACTTGTCGCTTCCATGAATTCCAACTCAGTTCCATCAGGTATTTCTTGCACCTCGTTCAGCGTTATTCAACATCAAAACACACACACATACACATTCTTCGATTCAAGTTACATTTTTGTAGTTTTGGCTTAGAAATACACTGCTGTCATGAAAGTAAACGTGACCAAAAGGGAAAGAGTAAGAATAAGTTACATTTTTCTCGTGGATAACGTTATTGATTCATGCTTGTATGTGATTCTTCAACTTTTTTTTTTTACCCCAAGAATAGAAGACGGCATATTCAGTTGTAGGAATCTCCTAGTTTATGTGATGAGTCTTATATTGTGGAGCTTCTTCATGAGAACAGTAGAATTTATAAGTTCAAGGCATGTTATTTTCTTGAGCTATGTTCTTTCTTTAAACTTGCACCGGTAAGATTGATATTTTCATTGAAAGTGATATTAAGTGAGTTGCTTCAGTCGGGACACTGGATCAGGGTCACTAATTCAACGAGTCAAACTCACAGTGGTTAAACTGAAATCAAACCAGTTATAATAAAATATTATAATTTAAATAAAAACACATTGATTCTCAATACATTTATTTATATCCAAGACTTAATACTCCCTCGTTCAAAAATGTAAGGTATTTTTTTAAGAGTTGAATGTTAAAAAATGTAAGATATTTTTAGTTTTTCAAAGTGTAATTATTATCTTTTTTTTTTAAGTGTCCCTATTGATAATGACTTTATATTTATTGTAGGATGTTTAATAGGGATAAATATGAAAAGATAATGTTAGTTGAAAAATGAGTAATTACTTTATTAGGGTGAAATTCTTATAAATGTCTTACATTTTTTAACGGAAGGAGTATTTCATATAACATACAACAATAATTCAATTGATGATAATATCAATAGAAAATACAGTAGTAAAATATTTTCTTAAACAATAATAGAACTAAAATTTTTAATATAATTAAAAAAAGAGATATAAATAACCATTTACAATTAAAGAAATAACTATCTAATATAAAAAATATACTATGTAAATATATATATATATATATATATATATAATTTTGGATTAAAAATAAAATAAAATACGATTTCAAAATAAAATATCCATTAGCACTTTTTTTCAGCGAAGTGGAGTAACTTGTAAAGGAATACAATTTCGAAATGGTTTAGAACGGAAGTTGCGAAGCAGAAACATGAAGCAGTTTTATTAAAAAAAAGTTGGCCAAAAAAATAAAAAATAAAAAACAAAGAAACGTGTAGGCAACAAATGACATTATATTTAATATCATTTATTTTAAATAAAACCATAGAAGTCCACCCCCCCCCCCTCTCTCTGACACCACACGCATTCAATTCCGGTGCTCATCAGTTGTTAATTTGGACAATCCCGATTCATCAATTTTATTTTATTACATATTTATTAAAATATAAAATGTAAAATGTAAAATTTTAATAAATCTATTATATTATTTGGACAATGTTAATTTAATTTAAATAATCTAATTTAATATTAATTTTTTAAAAAATATTATAAATTAATTATTCGGATGTACTCTAAATCCAGTTTGTCCAGAGTACATCTGGATAATTAATTTATAAAAATTTAAAAAATTAATATTAAATTGAATCAATTAAATTAAATTTGTATTGGCTAAATTAATGATAAGGTAGATTTATTGAAATTTTATAATTTTTTATAATAAATATAAAATAAAAATAAAAAATAATAGTGATGATCACTAAAACCGAACCCAACACGCAATCCATCACTTCTGTGTTTTAGCTTTCAGATTTCACTCTTTCACTGCTGGCTATTCGCCATTTTATATCCGTTTCACGCTGTTTTTCTATCCTCGATTCATCGTCTTCTAGTTGTTCGCGTTTCTTGTCGTTCCAGATCTGTTGAGTCTCTCGTGTTCTTTCTCGCCGTCTGGGTTGTTGTTGTGATTCAAGCATATCTGAAACAGAGCAGCATATCTCCTCTGCTGCCATCTTCTTCTTCATTTTCCAGTATCTTTTCTGGCGTCATCTTGGGGCTTTTGGAATTGGGGGGGGGGGGGGGGACTAACCCCAATCTATACAGAAAATCGGACTGGACATGTGGCCAGATCGTCAGTTCACCAGTTCAACTGACTGGTCTGGTTTGGTTTTCCAAACCATGACATGAAGAGCTACCCACAGAGTGACTTCATGTCGTGAAGTGAAGTTGGTTGACTTTCAAAAAGAAATGCACTATTATATACATATATGAGTCCCATGTGGGTTCAAGAATTTCCCAGCCAACAAACTATTATTTTAGAATAGACCCTCTCTCTTTCTCTCACTTGTGCTTGTAAATGTAAGAGTTTCACTTGATGTATGCAGAGGCAATGAGTTCGTCGGACGTTGAACTGCAGGAAAACAAAAGGGACAAACTGCGTAGTGCTGCCATGAAAGGAAAGTGGTCAGAAGTCATTGAAATGTACAAGCAAGAAAGGGATATTCGCACAGTTGCGATAACAGCAACAAGAGACAATGTGTTACATATGGCAGTTTCTAGTGGGGATGCAAAGGTTGTGGCAGACATCGTGGACTTTGTTTGTGCTGAGAGGGACGTAGTCCTTAGGGCTTACAATGATAGAAACAATACGCCTCTTCATTTGGCAGCATCAATGGGAAATGTTGAAATGTGTCGGAAGATCGGCGACGCAGACCCCTCCTTAGTTACTAGATGCAACATCGCTGGCGAGACTCCTCTCTTCCTAGCTGCTCTCTATGGAAACAAAACAGCTTTTCTTTGGCTTCATTATCTATATATAGAGAGCCCTGAAGTTTCTTCAACCGACTTTTCTCATTATATGAGGAACAACGGTGACACAATTCTCCACTGTGCCATTGCAGAAGGGCACTTTGGTAAATCTAAACCAAAATTCTTTTTTTTTTTTTTTCATGTATTGTTGTTTTAATGCACAAATTAAGTCGTGCAAGTGTATACGGCTTGCTCTGATTTTTCGCAGATGTGGCAATTGGAATAGTGGAAGGAGCTAGTGGTTTTAGATTCTTATTATAAAAAATGTTAATTGAAAGTTTAATCTATTGAAAATTATTCATATTTTCAATTATATTCTCATAAATATTCTATATACTAATGATGTTGAGTTTAATGGAAGGAGTTAATTTCTCACAATGTGATAAACTTATATTTGAATATTGCTTACATTTAGTGCTTGATAGTATGTCGAATATAATTACTCCTAATAGAGAGATATCTATTGCATAATAATAGAATTGAAATTTTACTGTACTATTTTTTTAAAAGAAATAATAAATAAAGTAATGGTGTAGTTGAAAAAAACAATTGTAAGAAGTACTTACTGTCGGCCAAAACAATTCTTCTAAAAAAATACCCGGGGAGCAGTAATTAAATAATGCATGTGTACATGGTTTGCTTCAATTTCGCAGATGTGGCGATCGAAATAGTTCACCTCTATAAAAACCTTGTGAAAGAGATGATGATGAGGCGCAACAAAGTCGGTTTGACCCCACTCCATCTCCTAGCAGCAACGCCTTCAGCTTTCAAAAGTACCTGTCTCCATGGTCGATCTATCTTGGTTTGTCTCATTTATGGTAAGTACTGTACTGTTGTCCATTGAAGGGAATCCAGTGAGAGGGGGAGAGAGATATATATTTCATATTTGGCATTCTTGACAAGTATTTGCACGTAGGTTGTATTCAAACCACATTGTGCCGGAGAGAAATATCCATGCATAACCAATTCATATCATGATATACATGATATATGGCGACGATTTTTGGGCAGCAGCCAAAAGTCGCTGATAAAACTATTGGTGGCGACAAGCCAAATGTCATTTTTTTTTCGTAGTGTTGCTTGATTCGTTTTGACTAATCTCCATTATCCATATATGATATCACAGCTTTTCAAAGTACCGTGTCACAACGTATGTTGAATGCAGTTTTTTGTTTTGAACTTGGAAGGGTTCTTTAGAGTTGAGGAGAAGAAGCAGGCCACGATGAAGGAAGAAGTGGAACAATGCGAACGCAAGTCACGTGTCAAGTTTTATCAAGGTAAGTAGGTTTTACAAGATGGTTTCAATTCCTTGGCTAGTTTAATTAGCGTTAGCTTCTTGAGGACCTTTTCTTTATGCAACTTTGATATTGGAAATCACACACACATATATATGGAGAAAACACCTTAGCTATACTCAAATCTATTTAACTTTGCTCGAGAAGAGGATAGGAAAAGGGAGATGTTTTGAAACACATTAACAATATATAAAACTTTATTTTACCTATCTTTAATTTCTTTAAATTTAACAAAAATTTTAGGGATCAGAATATCTTTTAGTCCTTAAACTTTCTCTTACTAATCAAATTTAATACTTGAACTTTGACTCAGTATAGCTCATTCTTTGCAATTTATTATGTTAAAGAATTACAGGATTGAACTTTGTGTTATAAAAAAGGGTTAAGGTACAACAATACCCATCAAGTGATTGGTTATGAGTATCTAGTAGCCTAAAGTGAGAAAAAGGCAAAAATATCCAAACGTTACTAAAGTTGGTGTAAAAGTGACTAAACTATTAACTTTCCCTACGGCCTTAGTTTCCGGTGTTGAATGTTGATTGTGCTTGCCACACGTCAATCTTTGTTGATGTGGACTAAAAAGAGGCAAAAATATCCATAAAGTCATCGCCCAAGAATATCCAATAGCTTAAAGTAAAAAAAAGGGCATGAATATCTATAATGCTACTTTAGTTGGTGCAACAGTAACTAATTCATCAAATTCCTTAAATATTAATTGTTTAGCAAACACCTAAGCAGAAGTTGACTATTTTTTCCTGATGTGGACAAAAAATATTCCCAAGTGGAATTTTGCGAAGGTTGATCGGTCATTATATAAATACCATGTGAAAAAATGTTGTTTTAATCAAAACAATAAGTTAAATTGCTTGCTTTTTTATAGCAATGTTGAAAGTCATTTGAGAATTTCAAACCTCATCGCGAACGAAATCACTTAAAGTTATGCCAATGTTCTTAAGGTAGATGGCATAAACGGTGTGCATAGTCAAGAAGGCATTTCAAGCAAAGATAACCTCCTTCATGAAGTGCTTGTGTTCTTTGTAGTGAGCCACAGCTTTTTCGTTCTCGATCTTTGTAATGTGCAACCTATCTCACTGTGTAGAATTTTAGGTTTTGTAGATAAGAAAAATGAGTGGAGAAGGAAGGAGGAAGGGGGTGGGATATGTAATGATAGAAAGAAATCAAGTGGCATGGAATTTGGCAGATTGGTCACTATTATTCCTAATAAAGTAACGTTATGGATACTCTAATCCTTTTTTACTTTAGGCTATTGGATGCTCTTGAATATTGATTTCATAAGTATTTTTGCCACTGTTTTAGTCCATATTAGCAAAGATTGATATGTGGCAAACACAATTAGCATTTAACATCGAAAGCTAACGGTATTAAGGCAAGTTAACATTTTGGTCACTTTTGCACCAAGTTTGATAACATTATAGATATTTTTACTTTTTTTCCTCATATTAGGCTACTAAATGCTCTTGTTTGACCATTTGGTAGATATTTTTGTTGCTTAACCCTAAAAAAAATTAGAGGTGGAAAATGTCAATAGTGTTTGGGAATCGAGTGGTATATGTTTCATTCATGTTCATATGTGTTAGGTTTTGCTACCTTGGTTCATGCATATATGTTCCATTCGATGCCATGGCTTCTTCACATCAGCTTTGGCTTTCAAAATCCTTCAGGAGAAGATTTACTGAATCAAAACTTGCATGATTCAGTAATTTATTCGTTGCACTTAAATCTAATCATTGTGAATTGGTTTTCAAGCGGGTTCTTCATGTCATTATTGTGAGTTCAACTCAACAACATATCAAGATAAGTAAGTTTTAGGCCTTTGCTTCTTTGTGTTTCGTTTATCTTTCATGTTTGTGCAGTGTCTGTATGGTGTCACGTCTATATGTTTTTTGAGTTCGTTTGTCCTCTTTGTTATTTTCTTCTAGTCTGTAACGTTTGGGCCCTTAAGTGTTCTGCTTAGGGGTCTTTTTGGGTGTGTAATCGTTTTAGGTATTAATAATATTTGACTTTACATTAAAAAAAGTACTTATCTAGTGAAACTATTGAATAAAAATAATTAGTTATGCTGCTCTATTTACATTTAAAGAAAAAAATCCCAATAATATTAATGGATTTAACTCATTGGCTAAATAAATACAAAAGTTTAGATGAATATATTTTATCGGGAAAATTATAACCAGGTCTCACACAAAGAAATTAATTATTGTAAAGTCTATTAATAATTGAACTAAACTGTATTGATATCAGTTGTCAATGCATTTTAGTTCAATTGTCAATGGACCTTACAGTAATTAATTTCCTTGTGTGGGACTTCAATGTAATTCTCCTTATTTTATTTTAATTATATATATAATTACAAGATGTTTTTAAACAATATTTTAAGAAAAAACATTTAATACCCACTGACTATCGTTATGGTTCCTAGAAATTGGGTTTTATCAGATAAGAAAAATGAAGGAGAAGCACACATGGTGTCTGCAAATAATGAATGAACTTCTTCAGCATGCTTCTGACGAAGATATGTCAAAAATAATATCGAGAATCCCCTCGGAACATCTTTCAATTTCCCTGGAAAAAGAAGAAGACAACGGTAAGAAAATTCATGAAACTGACTATTCCAAAGGATCATATCCTATCTACATTATTATTGTTATTGACATCAGCTTCCCCTTGACATCATTATTTTTTTTTTTGGCCAAAATATCATCAGTGAATCAAGATCGAGTTTCTTAAATGATTAGAAATATTAATTAATTGAATATTTGTCTTTGGTTAAAAACAGCTTAAAATGACAAACTAATTTTGTGACATGGATGGTGAATGATTGGACATATAGAGTCAGAGTCAATGGCGACACCAGTGCCTGGTACAATAATAATTGAGACACCGCTAATGATTGCTGCAAAGACTGGTGTCAAAGAAATGGTGGAGAAGATTCTGGAATTATTTCCGACGAGGATTAAAGATGTGAATGATGAGGGAAAGAACATCGTTCTATTAGCAGCAGACTATAGGCAAATCGAGGTATTCAGAATTTTGTGCAAACAAAAAAGGCTTACTGAAAGTATATTTCGACAAGTGGATAAAGAAGGAAACAATGCATTGCACTTGGCAGCCATGCTTGGAGTCAAGCTTGATTCGCTTTATCATGGGGAAACACTATCCATGTTAAGGGAAATCAAGTGGTTTGAGGTACGTATATTTAATTTGCTACAGAAGATTCAATATACTACGTATCATCAAAAAAAGTATTTTTATATTTCAACGAAACAAGTAATGAACAACTTAAAGCCTATCACTATTCATTCACATTGATAGATATTAAAACTATTTGAATATTTCAAATTCAAGTTTACAAGGGGAAATTATATCGGCTGGCCAGTCAGGCTATTTGTTTAAAGCGATTTTTTTCTTCGAGCTCAGCTTTTGAAAAATTGAGGTATTTTTATTTCAAAAAGCTTCTAAACTTAACCCGTTTAAGCTTTAAAAAAAAACGACTTATGCTATTTATCTTGTATTTTAAAACATTATAATTTGCACTTTATATAATAAATGTGTAATACTATAATATCAAACTTCACTTTTAAAAATGACAAATGCTTTTGATTCCAGCCTTGAACCTAGTTAATAAGGGTTGGGTTTTAAAACATGACTAATTCTAAGGCTAAAAAAAACTTATAGTTAGCCTAAGTTCATATGGGTTTAAGGGTACCGGCCTGTTTCCTGGGTGTGTTGATTACTACTCACCTAGATATCTTAGCAAAAGCATATAAACATAATACACATATATGGTGATGCAGTTTGTAAAGAATTCAATGCCCCCTGGTTTGTCGGAGAGATACAATAGGAAAATGGAGACACCAGATGACATCTTCAGACACAGCCACAAGGAACTAATGAGAAGCGAAAGAGAGTGGTTGAATCAAACCTCACAAGCATGTTCTGTGGTGTCGACCCTAGTTTTGTCAGTGGCCTTTGCCATACGTTCCAACGTGCCAGGAGGTTACGATGGTAGTAATAATAAGGGCTTTGCAATCCTTAGGAACAACAAAGTATTCAAATGGTTTGAGGTGTGCTCATCTGGGGCCCTTTTCTTTTCCCTCATTTCCACCATCTGCTTCCTATCCATAGTTGCTTCTCGTTCCCAATCTGTCAACTCTTGCAGATACGTTCCTTTCATCAGACTTCACTTTGGCATGCTCTTCATGTTCATTTCCATTGTTTATTTGTGGATCTCTTTCTGTGCTGGTGATTTCTTCATGCTTGATGATGACACATTGCACAAAGCTCTTCCATCTTATGTTGTGGTCTCATCGGTCACCATCCTTTTGGTTGTGACACAGCTCCCCACATTCCTTGGACCCACATTGGCTAGCATTAGCCCAATTCAAGCCCCTAGACGAAAGACCACTCATCCCATCGAGTACAGAAGGGCCAAGGAAAAGGAAAACAACATAGATTTGAACAGTCAAGATTAAGTGCATGTCTTAGATATTTTGATTTTTTTGTTGCTAGCAATCATGATTCAATAATCGTAAGTAGTCAGTTAAAGTGATGGTTTAAAATGGTAATTTAGTCTTTTACAAGAATAATCTCTTGGCATTCGTCTTTAATTTTTGAGATTTAATTGATATTATTTTTTATAGAACACTTATTTTTAATATTATGGTGTTTTTTTTATTTTGTTATTCTCCGGATTAACTAGCAGTCAAACTCAAAAAAAAAATGTTTAAGGGAAAGTATATTGCACAATTTTTAATACTTCAAGGGCAACATTATACCATTTGATAATTTAGGGTACCCGTTAGACCAATAAGTAAGTAAGAAAAAATATATTTGTTTGAGTAATATCTTATTATAATATTAATATTTTAATATTTCATAAATTTATTTTTATTATTATTTATAAATCCTCTTTCAAAATTGGAATAACTTTTACAACTGTATGCGAGTGCGAAGTTTCATAAAATTTATATTATTATTTATCCATTATTTAACATACGATATATAAAGGATAAACAATTAAGGAATATAATGCGGCTGTTGGCAAAAAAAAAAACAAAGGAATATAATACAGATTTAATGAATGCTAACCTTGTATCTTGCGAAAGAAACAAAGATGCAACTTCTCTTCTATTTTCTGCACGTATAATTTCCTTGTATTGTAAAGGATTTATCTCAATCGTTGCTAAACCTTCTCGTTTAGAATGATTTGTTAAGTTGGTGTGCAAATTAAATATACATGGATGTCATTACAATCTGAGTCCATTACCTGGAAACCTCATCATCATCAACATATTCATATAGATTTAGCATCATTTTATCATTTCCTATTTCTACTCTAGTTTTTCACAAACTTCCATCAAAACCAAATTTCCACTCCTAATTAGGTACTCATGAAAATGGGGAAGAAAGCAATGTTTACAAAGCATCATGCCTCAAAGATTTTAGCTCCAGATATTTGAAAATCATTCCAAATGCGTTCAAAATTCTTTTATAGAGCTCCTAACCGAAAATGATTAAATTCGAAACTAATTAATATAAAACTGCTCACAATTTTTGCCGCAATAGGTCGGTTACAGTCCACAAATCCCCTATTTTATAAAAGTCTGTGTGTAAATGGCCCCAACTTTGAAACTCCATAACTTGAATTATGGACCTAATTAAATAAATGACAAGTGTGTAAAGTTTGATTTGTCAAGGAAATGGATAGGAAAAAGTTGAGCATGGAAATAGGAAAGATGGAAGTAGGATATAAATACAATTTGCACGTATCGTACGTACATCAAATAAACAAATAAAATGCGGATATCATTTTTGTTTTGTATGCATATTAGGTGGATGGAAATGAAGTTAAAAACTAAATGAAAAGCCTATTATGACCTTGTTAAAAGATAATTTGAACGATGAAAAAAAGAATATATATATACTCCTCTCCCCACGAAAAACTTTACCAAGACCCTCATTAGTTACTAAAATAAACGAAGTGACAAAAATAAAACCTTATATAATTCATTACAATAAAGTTATAAAATCAAAAATCGAACTTGCAAATTTATAAAATTTAATACTTGAGATTTAAGTTCAGTTAATTAATTTTTTTGAAACCTCTATGTCATTTTCCCAAATAAATAAGTAGATCATCCTCCCATAATGACCCGCATTAATGAGCTGCTTTTTGACCCTGTTGAGGATGGAGGGTTAGGGATGAGTGATAACCGTTTTGGAGAGTCTTTTAGGTCAACAAGCAAACAATTTCATATAAAATCATATTCATATTCAGCAACTCCTCCACCCAAAAAAGGAAACAATTTTATATGAAAACACTTTTCATGATAGTTTTCCACAAAAGCCCTCCTCGGTCAGTAGTCCTAAAAAAAAAGTTGGAAAAATGACAATTAGGTTCTAAAAAATTAAACTAATGACAGTTTGGTCATGATAGAATTTTCTAACTATCATTTTCCCAAAAAGGTTCCATTAATTTGGTTGTATCAAAATGTACGATTTATTCTCTTGAGAATTTTTTGGACAATTATTTTTGGAGTGCTATATTTGCTCCTAAAAAATGCATTATGACTTGATCAAATTAATTTATAGATATATATATATATATATATATCAAGTGTTAAATATATTTTTTTAATTTCTTGGCCAAAAATATTTATCTTTTACTGGAGTGTATGCAACACATTAGATCGTTATTTCTTTACCAATGCATTGTCGCTGACGGGAAAAAGAAGTTACCAACGCACTGTTAGGTGTTATGGATTATTACAACACTCTTGTACAATTTAGCTATTTCATGATATATTTTTTTTGTCAGAAAAGCCCTTCTCAGGCTTCAAAAATTAAAGTTTCAATTTTAAAATTGAAATGTTCAATAAATAAAATTCACAAACTTCACTACTTCTCGAAACAAATAATTTGACAAAAAATAATCAATGATAGTCGATTGTGTAATGTATAAAATATATAATAAAACTTTTCTGTTAATATTATTTTTATAAAAATAATTGTTCTTATTTTTGTACGATTATAAAAACAATTAAAATTGATGTTAGATTTCAATCTAGGATTTCTGCCTTCACACAAGAAGACGACGAAGTGCTTTTTGACCCCATTGAGTATTGACAATTTTTGGATCAATAAGCAAACAATTCTATATAAAAACACATTCATATTCAACAACACCTCCGCCCAAAGAAGCAAAGAATTTTATATCAAAACACTATCCATGCCAAGAACCCTTGGGTTCGCCCGGCACCGACACTCCTCCCCTACTAGGGAGAGGATGAGGGTTCAAGAGAAAGAGAGTGCATAATGGTGGGTGTGTGAGTTTCCTAAAAATTAATCGATACTTCCGATGCACTTCCTAATAGCTTCTACTAAGTGTGCAGTAAAGAAACTAAATCACAATTAATTGGGGATTTCAAAAAATTACTTAAACGTTACAAATGGGCTTCGTAATCACTTATATGGATTTAAAAGAGATTATATGGGTTTTCACTGCTAAACCAAATAGATACTTATACACACACACATGCGTGCTTGCTGTCACATCCTCCCCGCTAGATGCTCAATTTGCCAAACCCTTGCCTTGTTTTTATCTTAAATTTATATTGGTCTCTTCGTTGAGGTTACCCCCCAAGTGTGGCAATTGCTCTTGACTTTTCTCTGGAGTGCTACTGCGTGTCTTGTTCTGAGTCCATTGCCGGTGGGAGATCAATCTTCGGCTTTTCTTGGTTCAACAATGCTACGACTCGTGTACTTACGGAATGAGTAGAGTATCATTCTTACAAGATTTGTATTAAAAATATGGTCAAATAAAATATATTGTGAATTCAATAAAGTTGAGAAAATCCAAAGTATGATTGGTATTTAAAATATAAATTAAATGTGTGAAAAATTATGAAAACATAGAAAAGAAATTGATTCAAGACTTTTTGAAAGTAATTAGGCCTAAAATCATTTATCTCCCTTTATAGTTCAAGAACACACAATCAAACCCCAATACATTTTGCTCTTAATGATGAATTATGTTAGTCAAGGATGCTAAATTACCCCCTCTCAAGTCTCCAAGTAGGTGTTTAGTTTTATCAATTCCTTAATCTCTTAATTAACTAATTAAACTTTAATTTTCATTGTAAATCTTATGTGACTATATGAGGTTAATGAGTGCATTCCTTAATCTCTTAATTAACTAATTAAACTTCAATTTTTATTGTAAATCTTATGTGACTATATGAGGTTAATGAGTGCATCTCTACCTTATTAACAAAACCACCCATTCAACTTGCAAACTTCAAGTTCTCACACAATTTAACTTAAGTTTTACACTTAACCTAGCTCTCTCAAACATCAATCAAGTGAACCAAACAATTTAATTGATGAGTAATCAACTAGAAGCAATAAGGATAAAGTAAAATCAACACAATCACATCATTAATCACAAATACAAAAGGAAAATAGTAATTAATGCATACAAAAGGTTCAAAATAATCCAAGAATCAAGGGTTCAGCTACAAATATTCATAAAACCCATGAAGAAATATAAATATATCAACACAAATATTGAACAAGAGGAAAGGAAAGAGAATGGAGAAGAAGAACCAAAATATGAAGCCAAAAATCTCTTTCAATCTTTAAATCCAAGCTCAATCTCCACCAAAATTCATGTCCTAGTGCACCCAAAGCTCCCAAATACTCTCAAGAAGTCTAAAATATCAGCCAAAGTCAAGAATGGGTCATAAATATATATATATATATATATATATTTCAAAATCCTAACTTTATTAGTTAAATAAAATGCTTGGTCTTGCTGTCGCGACTTTAGTCATGAATTTGCTCCTTTTTCTACACTTCTCCTAGTTGGCGTGACTAATCATCTTTTCACTTAATTTCTTCATCTGAAAACCTTCCAAAAGGATCATTAAAGATCCAGAAATGCCAAATTATAGCCAACCAGATCTTAAACCAACATATCAATAAATTAACTTTAAAATACCAAATTAGAGCTAAGGTTTGCATTTCCAAAAAACATACGTAATTTTGTGATTTGAGTATTTAAAATATGTACAATTTTCCTAAGAAAATATGCTCAAATGATATGAAATTCTTGAGACTAACAAACAACCTCCATTGTGAAATATAGACTGTATTTAATTAGGTTTTTTTTTAACTTTTTGTGCATTTTTGCTTAATTATAAGTTTCTGGTTGCTGCAACCTTCGTCAAAGATTTGGGATAGAGAACATTGATAATAGGCAGGATGTGTAGGTAAGCAAATATTCACTTGAATTCTGGGCATATTGTTACATTCTTTATAAATTCAAGTTGGGATGAATTGCAATTTGGAAGACTGTTTTAATTCCTTGTTGATTGATTCAAGCTCTCAACTTCAAATTGAGGTTGATGAATAAGTCATAATTAAGCGTTTTTGTTAATTTTATTTTTTTAATCAAGTTCCTCTTACTAACAGAATTATTCAATCTTAATACATATAATGATTAAAATTTACACCACCTCCCCTAATTTATCATGAATCATGAACGGCGATTTTTTTTTTTTTTTTTTTGAGATTGTGCGCAGTTAAGGCTCTTTTTTTATATTGGTTAGTGAACTTATTCACTTATTTTTGATACAATTTAGCTAAACTCTATATA